GTGGAGTCCTTTATCTATCGTAGTGTGATCATATGACTGTAGGTGATTGCATCCTAAATGGTGAAGGGAGCTTAAATGACAGGGATAGGGACGTTTGGCAATAATAAGTGATCTGTAAGGGTTAAATTAACGATTACACACTGTAGGGTTGGATTCTACTTTATTATAAAAGAGTCGTATGTAACGTTTTGGTGTTTTCCAAGCAATAAATCATGTATGAAACTGAATTTGAAACATGTAAAAAATATCACCAATAGAAAGTGATCCATGAGTTTCCCGCCTGTTGTTGTCTTTTAGCGAAGGGTGGGTCATTAATTTTTGTGCATGACTTTAAGGGTGGGCCATTGATAATTAAGCCTTATTCCAGGGGTGTGCCAAGGAAAAATATACAGTTGAAGATTTGATTTCTCCAGCCTATCCCCCCCCCTATACTTTATGACTGGTCCCTAAGCACCTCAGAATAGTCGAAGCTTTTATGGTTTGGTAGATAGTACTATGGCGAAAGCGTCGTTTTGGGGTGTGGTCAGTTTCGGACGTTTCGTCCCGGATTGGGATTCGGGCAGCGTTACCATGTTGACCGTCATGATCAACTTGTCCTAAAACAGTTGAGATTATCTGTCCTAAATAAAATGCATACAATCTCATATACAGGTCCTAGACTAAAAAAGGCGAAAAACAAACTCGCCCAAAATCTAGGCATTTAAACGAGAAAACCTCTTTAATTAAAACATATAGCTAAATGCATGAACTCGTATTAAAACAAGCACACACCAAAGAGGTCGAGAAAATATGGGTAAGTAGCTACATACTATTGTTGAATTTCAACGATTCTGCTTGGAATATTAACATAAATTGTGCATATATTTAAAATAAAATTGCCTGTCACTTTCATGCTCAAAACTACGAGCAAAATTGAGAAAACTTAAAAAATTTAGCGCGTATGTGTCAGCAATTTCCAAGAGTCTTTGTTTGTGTGTAATCCAGAACCAAAATGAGGCCACTTCGATTTTCGCGGTTTTCCTTTAAATGCAGCTTTTAATACTTAAAAATGGCCATTGACTCTCGCCCCTTCGCCGCTTGTTGCTACTAGTAGACTATCATTAATAGCCTACTAGTAACGTAGCCAATCAGAACGCACGATACATGATAGCCTACTAGTAGGTTTGTACTGAAGGCTTAATAGTCATGACTATAATCTTGATAGTCAAGACTATATTCTTAATAACCATGACTGTAGTCTTTTTAGTCATGACTCTAGACTTAATATAGGTCAATATAGTCATGACTTTAGTCTTAATAGTCATGACTATAGTCTTAATAGTCTTGACTACCGGGTGGCGCAAAAAAAAGTACAACTGTTTGATTACTTGTAACTCAGAAACAATAAGCAGTAGAACCATAAATCGAGTTTAATTGCATCCAGCGATATCTAACTTAAATTTTGGTATATTTGACAGGCATATTCGTCCAAGATTAACTGAGATATAAGAGTTTAAACTTTTGTTAACAATTTTTAAACGGTCACAAATTAGCTAAAAATCAGTTTAATAGGCCGTTTTTAGCTAATTTGTGACCGTTTCAAATTTGCTAACAAAAGTTTAAACACTCATATCTCAGTCAATCTTGGACGAAAATGCCTGTCGAATATACCAAAATTTAAGTTAGACATCGCTGGATGCAATGAAATTCGATTTTGGGTTCTACTGCTTATGGTCTTTGAGCTATATGTAATCAAACAGTTATACTTTTTTTTGCGCCACCCGGTATAGTCTTAATAATCATGACTATAGTGACGTCATGACTCTAATCATGACTATAGTCGCTGCTCGCATAAGCGCTAAAGCCCAGGCCTCAGTATTAATGCGTGGACATTAGGCGAACACTAATTTCTGAAAGCCTTTGAAGAAGTAAGATTTCTGGCAACAAAATGTGGTCATATGTTGGTTGGCACCCTATTTCGCCCCTCCCTCAAGACCCCCATATTGCGCGAGGTGTCCGCCACTGCACTGATGGTCCTAACCCGTCCCTGTTTGTTGCTGTCTCTGCCGGAAAATTTGAACATGTCTTGTTGACAAACAGGTAGATAACAAATAAAGCTCATTGTTTCTATTGATACCTGCAGATACCAAGCTCCCGTCAATACTGCAAGAAAAAAGACATCGGATCATCGCAGACAAAAGCTGGGTCATTCGGCTAGGAAAAACAAAGAAGCTACCGAGATGAAACACGGTTCGGGCGATAATTCCCAAAGAAAAGAACATATGCCAAAAACAAAACGTTTTAGACCTTCGCAAGATAAATAACACTGTCTTGCAAAATATCAGGTAACATTATAAGGAATGATACAATCTCATGTCGTCACCCGTGCTAAATAGGTTGGACGTAGATTCCTAAATGTTTCTGAATGTTGCGTGTTTCGGAACCAAATCACGCGTGGGCTTTGAGTGGACAAACATGCATAATTTTTTCGTGGGATAAACGCTGGAATATTTCGTTGCAGAGGGATTTTATTTGAAAAAATGATAACTAGTCCAAAGTGTAGCTGTGACTGCATGTATAATTCACTGTACTAGGATAAATCACTTGATCTCTGATCTATATATACCTTATTGCATAAAATGCTTTCTTCTAATTTTATTTATTGCCTAGATCTTTGAAAAAAGCATAAATGCTGCAGTTATATATTTTGGAAGGAAACTTCAATTAAAACTCGTTAGACAAATGTATTTTATCACATACTTTTGCCTTTATCAGGGCGATAAAGGGGTGACATGAAAACGTTAAATCACTGATATCGCTTTTTGTCCCGCTATTTTAATAATTGTTGCATTGGGGTAATGATTAGTATTCTAATAAGTTCTGACCCTGATAAAGGCACAGGTGTATAATAAATACTAAATAGGTTATCATAATCGGGTTGAAGTGATATCGGTTTTATCGCTTTCAGGATGATATTATCATAAATGGCCCTCGTTCGCTGCGCTCACTCGTGACTCACTCGTGACATTTATGATATCGTCCCTCAAACGATAAAACTGTTTTCGCACCCCCCTCATACAGTATGATAACCTATACAACATAGAAGTCTGGAACAGACATATTACATGTCTGTAGATTTTATTTATGTTGTGGTAGCCAATGCTAAAGCGTCAGTGGCATCTGAAACAGTCTAAATTACATCAACAGTCTAGGAATGTGTCTTCGTCAACTAGAGATACTAGTAAAATTTTTATTTACACTCCGCTCTCCAATAAGCCCCCTCTGTAAAATCCCCTTTTTTCAAATAAGAAATTTATATATTACTCCCGCTTCTCTATTATCCCTCCCTCTGCCAAGACAACTAAACACATGTAAATGCTAAGTTTTTATAATTATCAACATTCCAATTTCATGCTGGTTTGGTTTCATTTTATTTGCTTGCATTGTGGTAAAATCAATAAGCCCCCTCTGTATAAGCCGGCGGTATTTTGCATTCTGAAGGACCAATAAAGGACGGTTTTTGAAGCATGATTATGAAATTGGCTCCATCAACCGGAATGTGAAAATCTGTACATTGAGTACACTGCAATTAGTTGTTTGGTAATCATACACAATTCGTCTTTATAGTTTTCAGTCAAACGCCTTGTTATTTTTCATGTCGTTATCTGTATGAGAGATCTTGTTTAAATGTTTTCACCAACGTTTTGCAATCATCGACTATCATATTTGGAAGAATAATAAAAACGCATCTTTGGCTAGCTATGCATGCAAGTTCGTAATTGCGTGGGAGTATAGTTGTTAGATCATATATGGAGTTGACTCTGTGGAGTTGACGTACCATGGCGTCATTATGCTTGTTCCAGAACCTATATTGGGAAACTATTGACGCACTAGTGGCAATACTTCCTAAGATCACCATCCTAATCATCAACTTGTGCGTTCACTTTATATTCAGACAAAACGTATTTGTGATATTTTGTTTACCTTTTTGTACGAAATTTTTCACATTTGTTTTTCTTTGAAAGTACTTTGACCTTTGTGTTCTGAGAAATAAGTATTCTTATAAAGCCGCTTGAAAGCGGCACAGAAAATGTTGCGTTTTATACTAGCACTTTAGAATACCTTGTATATTATTAGTATTGGTTTCAAGGAGTTATTTTCATTTGAACACGCATCTTCCCAAATAATGTTTGACGTGTAGTTTCATACCACAAGTTTATCCGACAGCCTATCGCTACTCCTCTTGAAATAAAGTTGTTATTATTAATAGTATTATATTATTATTATTATTATTATTATTATTATTATTATTATTATTATTATTATTATTATTATTATTATTATTATTATTATTATTATTATTATTATAGGGGACATTTCAAGGTCCCTAAATAGATTAACTTAAATGGAATACATGATAGTGTTGGGAAAGCCGCGTTATAAGAACAGCTAACAAAGCTAGATCGCGTGACTGCCAACTCTCATGCACTCTCGTGCACTCCTTGTCAGTTGACCCGGGCTTTACTGCTTTAAGAATTGGTAAAATATTGCCCACATTACAGAAATTCATGCTCAAAATGTAATCTAAAGTTAATTTATTAAAAATTTCATTACGCACGCGTCTCGTAACCTTGGGAGTTGAGACAATACCAGATTGTATTTGAGTAGAAAATGGCAATTTTGAGAATGCGAGTCTCATAGAACCTAGAATTATCTAAATGCAGAATTTTCTAAACGCATAGAGGGGGAATAAGCTGACACGGACCCCTCCTCCAGTTTCCCAAGGTGACTTTTCCATGCAATTCATTCCCCCAAAATAGTTCAAATCTCACGCTGTTCGCTTCGCCCCCCCCTCTCCCCCATTCAAAAATGTAGGGGCAGGGCCGTAGACAGCGCGGGGGGTATCAACTGCCCCCCCCCCGAGAAAACTATATTTACGATTTTTAGAATGTCATTATTAATTATTCTTTGGATATTTGGGACATTTTTCGGCACATAGGCCTTACTGCCCCCCTGGTGAAAAAATCCTGCGTACGGCCTTGTTACGCCATTAACAAACTAGTCAGTAGGAAATAGGAGTAAGAAGCCGATTTTGAATGACATCATTGATATATTTGCAATTTGAAAATTAAAAGCCATAATTCACATTATTATTTTGCAACCCTGGCCGTCGCCTAAACTAGATAACAAGCCGATGATTTAGAATAAAAAGGCGGGTTTTTTAAAATCATTTGAATTCGGTCTCCCTGCATGTCTGCTAAATTCCGCCTAAAAGATAATTTATTCGCTGTCACGTATGTTGTGTTTGTATTTTGCTTAAGACATTTCGTTATTTTGATACCATTGTAATAAACCACAAAAGATCCTTGACCTTCGCTTGTATGACCAATTGAACATCTACGCTTCTCACGAATCACGAAAATAAATGTTCACGAATTTGAACTATAATTATCCAACTACATGTATCTGCGACAACGTGAAATACAGCTAGGGTGAACCAAAAATTAGAGTGTGTTTCAGTGTGCTACAATGGCAAGTGCCTTTTATATGTACATTCCTGACGGCCTGTGCCCTGACTGTCTAGTTTCAGAGTTCCTGACTCAACCAAACACAATGGACCTCTGAATGCAATTTAATATTTTAGAACTGATAGAGCTATATGCAGTATCAGAACTATAATAAAGTTAGTTTAGTTTTCATTTCCTACTGTGCTTCCGTGTTTACGCACAAGGCTCAGATCTAGAAATATATAGTGTTTATAAAACTGTTCTGATATACCACCTTGAGCAGAAACCCGTTGTTGACGGCATCATCAGAGCTTTTCTCGTATATATTTGATCTAATAGAAACTTCTCTGCGTGCCTCACATGGCTCACTGACTCGCACTTTATGCAGACCCAACAAGGTTGATACACTTTTAAATAACAACGACAGTTGCCGATATACTGCATATAGCTAGTTATAGTTGCTACGTCCGACAAGCCGTACGTATATAATTTTGTTTTTTAATTTCTTAAGAAAGCTGAAAGTACTATATTTTATATTTTACGCCACTCGTAAAGCTAGCCATGGCAACTCGGGTCATGCATGCATGCTATATACATTATAAACCTGACTATACCTGAGTCTCGACTTGTTGCTGTAGCTATAGCTGCGTCACTACTCACTGCGAACTTCTCGCATGCAGGTTCAGACCATTTTTTTTATAAAAGAAAAACAGCTTTCCTTCAAAGGTTCTGACTTGCTAGCCAAACTCAATGACAAATTTACTACGCTTCATTAAATTAGATTGTATTTTTGTGAAAGCATCTAATCTTCAAATCGAGTTCATGTCAGATATATAGTCTATGATCGTCACTGAGCAATAACTAAGACACCATAAATTGCTACGAAAATTGAGATATATCCGAAAACCGCCCTCTCGAATGCGCCAACGCCGTCTGAACGTGACAAACCCTACTGTATGAACGTGCCATACTGATGTATCGATAACAGGACAATAGAACAATCGATACAAGCTAAATTTTCTTTCATTGATAAATCTGAATTGATTTCGCAGTTATAATGCGCAAATCAAAGAGAAAACTGCAGTTGTGCTTTAGCTGTCGATTAGTTATTAGGTGCTACTTAATTTAATTATCAAGACCAAGAAAACAGCGTGTTGATAAAATTCATAAATTCGGTGAGTAAAATTACATATACTGTACTTCTCTTCTTAATCATTAGCCGAAAATTATCTCGATTGCTTTTTCAAATGTAGAATAACATACCCTATATTTTTTAAAGAGTTAGTAAGTTAGTAAATATAATATGCATGTTAGTTAAATCACAGTTTGGTTATATGGGGTATTTTGTATTTTTGTGTTATGACGTCACTAGTTGTGCATAAGTTATTAAAATGACAGCAAAAAGAACTGGTCTAACATCTCAGACTAGCCGGATTCAACGAAATTAAAGCAGGGGCGTAGGAAGCAGGGGGGCCGCGGCCCCCCAAATATTTTATAGGGGAGGGGGTTGAATAGCTTTCGCCCCCCCCCAAAAAAAAAAAAAATTATATATATATATATATTGGATTTAAATATATAAAAACATTCCTGCGAAAATAACTCTTATATGCGTGCTTAAAGTGCACCTATACCTCAATTCTTTTTACCATCTCGTTCTTGAGAACTTCTGAAAAGATATATAGAAACGTATTTTGTAGATTTTCGATTGCACACTTTGTCTCTGACTCTCTGAGCTATTTCATTTCTCTGAGCTATTTCATGTCCAGAATTTACGTCACATATGTATAATGACTGATCAAAGAATGTAAGGTACAGGCTACAGTTAAATATCATGCCGAATAGAGAGGCTAAAATGGTGTTTTACATAGGTATGTAATCCTGCCACAATTCATGCAGACTTCATTTTAATGCCGAATTAAACTCGATAGTGAATACGATACACAAGCTTTTACTTTAGATCATTATGCATTTGTGACGTAAATTCAGGATATTTGCATACCAAAAAAACTGAAATATCTCTTCAAAATAAGTTATTTTATCATTTCAGAAGTTCTTAAGAATGAGATAATAAAAATAACTGAGGTACTTAGGTGCACTTTAAATTGTTGTTATAAACTTATAAAGATCACAAGCTAGGAGAAGGGGCAGCGGTGAAATAACTTATCTGACAGAGACGGAGTAATTTATTACATATCATGCAGTTATAAGTTTTGTTTACGCGGCAAGACGCGCCTGCAAACATGTTACGTTGGTTTTTGATACATGAGTCACTTAGTCATATATATATATATATATATATATATATATATATATATATATATATATATATATATATATATATATATATATATATATATATATATATATATATATATATATATATATATATATATATATATATATATATATATATATATATATGTAGCCGAAGAACGGGTTTACCGTTTTAGCCTATACCAACAGAACGTCTTAAATAGTTCCTGTAGATGTTGCATTATAAGTGCGAGTTCATTGCATTGATAGGCTTGGTGTCGCTGACATTGTGTTTGGTTGAGTCAGGAACTCTGAAACTAAACAGTCAGAGTACAGGAATGTACAGATAAAAGGCACTTGCCATTGTACTAGCACTCTAATTTTTGGTACACCTTGTATTTCACGTTGTCGCCTAGATACATGTAGTTGTATACATGTATTGGAGAAGCGTACTGAGATGTTAAAAACTTTAGTGCAATTATGACGGTGTTTTTTTTTCAAGCAGAGTGCTAAAATTGGAACTCTTTCTTCTCTGACACAACTGACCAATCAGAAAAGCGCCATCCTTTTCAACCCTCAACATTAAATACGTTCACTTTAATATATTTATTATTTATGTTTGTTGGTCGAGCAGAATCGTAAGAGATTGAAGAGGTTTCAAGTCGGAGAATTGTAAGCCTGAGTGGCGTAGCCTGGGGGGCGACAGCCCCCCCCCCCCATCGTCACAAAAACCATCCTATTAAGTGCAGCGTTTCCCCATTTTTTTTCTCCCAGCAAAACAAAGAGGAAAATAAGGTGACACAGATTCCTCCCCCAGTTTTCCAAGGTGACTTTTTCTAATTCATTTTAATATTTCCGAAAACAGATGTCTGGGAAACTAGGAACGTTTTTGAGATCATAAAAAATCATGCCTTTGATCGATGTACTTTATAATCATCGGAATTCTACAAAATTTCAACCCAAAACTGCTTGAAATCGCATTTCAGGGACTCCAGATTTTAAAATTTTCCAAGGGAACATGCATGCCCCGGACCATGAGCCATAGCTTTGGCTTTCGCTTCGCCCCTCCAAAAATAAAGCCATGGCTACGCCACTGTTTATTAGACCTCGTCGAACCTGCGGCCCTGCGATTCCGGTGCAGCGCTCTAACCAACTGGGGCCGGTTGTTCGAAAACCGATCAGCTTAACCCTAGGTTAAATTAACCTAAAATTCAAACTTCCTGGCAGCTTGTTTACAAATTTGGAAATGATTCCTCAGAAATCTTGTCTATAGATCGTAGGAATTTCAACTTCTCTGAAGTTTTGAAATAATCAGAAGTGCAGAAATACATAAACTAAAACAGCGGGTTAAATATAACCGGGGTTAGCGCTAACCCACCTTGGAACAACTGGCCCCAGAGCTACAGAATCCAGTTGTCAAGTTCTAACCACAAGTCCATGTATATATATATTAGGGTACTTAAAATTAAATATCAAGATTTTGTTGGCATCTTGTACTCGGTTGAATAACAGTTGAAGGATTTTGTCACCTACAAAACCCTTTACATTTAAATACGTCTTCAATAGGTATACATGTATTCTGAAAAATTTTATTTTTTACATTTTTTGTACATCGAGCGGCAAGTCCCTATATAGACTATATACATATTTTTAAAATTGGTACTTTTGATTGTCCTCCAGTATAATCTAGTAGATATAACTTTTTGTTACCCCATATATACTGCCATAGAGTTAGGCTCCATAAACTATGACTATGTAGCTATATGCCGGTGTTTCTATTGACGCATTTGCAGTTTAAAATACCTACCACCCAAGGCAAATATTTGTTCATGTCAGCAATTTTCGTTTAAAGTTATACCGAATATGTTAATGTTGACGTCACACGAGGAATCGCCAAATATACAAAACATTCTCATAAGACATCAAACAACATTTTTCAACAACGTGTATTAGAATTTGTTTTCAAGTGTTGGTAACTTCGTTCAGTGTTTTACAGCTATGTAAGATAGTGAAATTACAAAACACACGGGAATTTGTCATTCCTGCAGTTAAGAAACATCTTAGGAATCAGGTTGATTAAAAATTGAAACAGTACTCAAATTACTGAATTATAGACAGTGATAGACACTTTAACACTTTAACATAATACAATATGGTACACGATAATTTACTGAAGAATTAAACATCCGGCTTTCAGCTCAATGTTTCTTCACGTATCAGTTACATAGTTCCTATCCTCTCTCTTTCGAATAGTAGCCTACGCGGTGTAGACCCCAGCAGAAAATTGAAATTGATGGAAATTCAGTGCAGAAGTTGTCCACAGTTTCAAATTTGAAATCAAGTTAGCTTTAAGACCTTTGGGTTTAGGGTAAGGGTAAGGTTTAGATTTCTGTTGATTGTTTCACGTTTATTAATGATCTTGAAAACCGCGGCCGTTTCGTCCAACCCTATACTGGAGATTTAGGAGCATGCCGACTCATTCGAGTAGTCGACGAACGATACATGGAATAATTTTTGGATCCCTTGCAAAATCTCAGCAACATGCCCTTGATAGCTACATTGAATGTTTTGTCGAAGAAAGCGTAAATTATTGGGTTTAAAAAACTGTTACAGTACGGTAAAACTCCAAAACAAATGCTTTGTAAAATCATAAAACCATAGAGGCCCATGGCAGCCAGTAGCGCGGAGTTATATTGGAAGATAACGAACAGCACGAAAAACGGTCCCCAGCATATGATAAATGTTAGCACGATGAGAGTAAGCGTGAGTAAACTTCGTCGGTTTGAGTGCGTCTGTCTGCGTTGATGTATCCTTGCGCTGTCCTCGTTGCATTCCTGACTGGGAAGACGATTTCTGCTATGTACCTGCACAATACGAAATATGAAAGCGCACAGTATGATCAATATCATGACAGGTATGAAGAAACCCAATAGAGCCGCAAGCGTGTAGAATGTTCTGTTCTCATTCTGGCATTGGTTTATACTTATATGCACTCCTTTGTTTTCCCCGTACGGTATGAGACTTAGTACGCCCAGAACTGCGGAGTAGATCCAAATGAATGCTATGATGCGACATGCACGATGAGTCGTCATGTTAGTTTTATACCTGAACGGTCTGGACACTTTGTAGTAACGATCGATGCAGATTATAGTGAGAGTTGTGATAGACGCAGCTTCGGTGAAGACATCCACCCAAACCCAGAAACGGCAAAACGCTAGGGTCAATGGTTTGTTGACGTTGAGGTATAGATGAAGACGCATTGTGACGCTGAACATCGCCACCAACACATCGGATACTGCAAGGCTTGCCACAAAATACTTGTTAGCATTATGAAGACGTCTGTCCAGATAAGTCGCTCCCAACACGAGCAAGTTGCCTACCAGGGCCGCGAATATGGTGAAGAATAAAAAAGCGATCTGAAAATGCAAAATAATCGACTTCAGCCGAACGATGTCTTCAGGTTCGCTCGAAACTGTTGCGTTTGTGTGGTTTGTCAGATTGGAATCCATCGTAATTATCCAGGAATCGAAGATCGAAAAAGATATTTCACTCAGAGTAGTAAGATAACAGAGTAATGTTCACACGTTCGTATACTAAATGGTTTTGCATTATGGAGTGAATGGTATTATCGCACTTTTATAAACGTGACAGTCTTAGCATACATGTCATTTACAAACACTTGAGAGGCTTACATCCGTTTGTGTGAAGTTCCTGCTGCCACACACTTAAAAATCTCTCCTTGCACTAATGGTCTCCAACTGTGTCAATTGCTCAGTGTCTATCCACAGTACGACTCCCACTAATACAAAACCAGCCTTGACCGTTTAAGGGACATTTTTATGCATATCTGCTTATCTTTTGACGCAAGTATCCCTGGTGATTTTACATCGCACACATATATATGCATCATTTTCCCACATGAAAGAGAAATCCACTTTATGGGAGAATTTGTGAGAAGGAATGTTTATATATTTTGGTGTAGTCCGTGTAGATTCTGAAAATAGCTGGCGTGTTTTGAATTATTAAAACACGCCTGCATGCATATTAGTATTTTTAATTTTTACTCTGTATGACTGTTTCCAATTATTATAGGGATTCATTGTTGGATCGCAGAAAGCCAGAAACGACATATGTTTCTTGGACTTTCGAGGCCGCGGTAACTGATTAATTATTAAGACTCTTCGACTTCGTCTGTAAATTAGACTACGGCAACATCAGATTCTATTATTTTTATATTAGATGGCCTCAAGTCTTTTTCAGATATAATCTCTAATCGATGTTTAAGTTGTTTAAATAGATAAGTATAACGAAGACATGAGTGAATTTGATAACCTTCACCTTGATTGAAACACTATATGTTGCACATTTCCGTGTATACTATTTTTATGTAATTGAAATTGAACCGAAATTTCAAATGTTTCTAATTTTGCAATGGCCACTACTCCACTAGCTGAAAATGCACAATCTTCAAAGTAAGCAATTTTGCTGTGATGCCCCCACAAATTTTGATCAATTACAACAATGTCAATGTAGCTACCAGTATTCGTATCACAATCATTGAATAAAGTTAAAGTTATCAGTACTGAGTGACTGATGATATGATGAATATCATGATGATGTTGTGATCGCCGGTTGTTTGGCTGTATCATAATGCCGTTTAATTAGCTATTGATTTGATGTATAACTGATAATCTATGTCAACACACTTTTCCTTTGGTTTTGTAACAGTTGCTAAATCTAAATTTGTTTACGTCTAATTCATACTCATCTGCGTTCAAACCCAACGTTGCGATATGAGATGAAACTATAGAAGCCAATAGACCTATATAGAACTAGAACTATTTCGGAGTTACCGTTGTTTTGTATTTTGTAAAAATACTCAGTGGTTACTGTCAATTTTCAACATTACAAAACATAATATGTTCAAACAGGGAAAGTGATATTGCATCCAAAGAAATATTGATGATATTGGGGCCAATTACATGCAGTAGTTGGACTGATTTTAACTGGTTTTAAGTCATGCAATTCTGCGGCATTTATGTAACAAAATGGTTATTGCTGAAAAGTCAGTCCCTCAACCCTAGCCCGTTGTTTAGGAAGATATGGTACATGTAATTAATACAGTGTCACAAAGCTCATACTTAATTGCATAGTGTCACTGAATGGCACGGGTATATGATTCATATGTGTGAATATTTTCTAGACGAAGCGTCTACTCATAAAATTAATATCATCCTTTTTCTGGACATACATATAACATTGTACTAAAATACATTAGCAAAAACTTGGTAAAAACAGGAAAATTATCGATCAATCAATGTTTCAATGTCAAAAGCTTTTAAACCCTTTTATATTGTGAAATTTTGAAGGACAAGTATAGAAAAACCTTTAATTAATTGTTGACATGCTTGTTTCAATTTTCCTCGTTTTTCAACAGACCGGGTAACTGTTGCTATAATTAATTTGTATTATCAGTTATAAATAAAGTCATAAAATGTGAATTATATAATGGGTCTAGATCTGTTCGTTTGTTTTGTGTTTGTTATTGACGAAAAGTTACGAATCTTGCATGCATCTGTGGTTTGTCTGTGTTGTTTGCGTGGTACACACAGACTGTTCCATCAGTCTGTTGCCAAGCACTTACATTTGTTTATCTAATGAAACAAACTGACAGTGAAAATGTTGAGTAAAGCTTGTTAGCGAGCAAACAGGTTAACGATTAAAGCTCTCTTAAGCTAATAACGAAACAATGCCGTTGTGACTGGATTTCCTCCTCCTTTTCAAATGCTGTATAGAAAACACGCGACATATTATGCTCTTGTCATTTTTAATACGTCACGCTACTCATCACCAGCGTAATTATTTACAAACGTTTGTCAAATCGCTGTTCATTAAATAAAATGCACGGTAATGAATAATTTGCAATTATTATACACAAACATCATGCAGACCAGCGCAAACCAACCTATTGCACCAACTGGCAGTAATAAGAAAGAAGTTGTATATAAATTATAATCCACATTCCACACCATTACATTATTGGTATACATATAGGTCATAGGATACTTAATACAGAATCATTCACCTAATAAGAGACTAATTACATACAGTAAAATCAGTGAAAATCCTGGTTAAGTTGTTATGATGTCCTATTCGTAAATGAAATGATGTATACGTAGGTGATTAATATCGTTACTTTTCATTTTGTAATAATGACAAAGTTAGTAAATCTTCGATGAAAATTTCTTAAAAGGGTTATCAGAGATATTACTATTTAGTAGTAGTCTATTCAGTTCTATGTTGTACAGTACCTCCATGAACTGACAAATGCATGTCTAACTGAAAAAATGTAGAGCCAAATATATGTGTTGTCAGTCCTCCAGAGGTCGTGCATCATGCATGAGCTGATCAGTTGTAGGGTCAACTGCAGTCTGCAATGCAACTGAGTCTATAGCGCTTATCTTATCCTTTATACTCCTTACTCCTTAGTCCTAATTTTGACAGCGAACTTGATAGCCAATACTGATATTCGCGACCAAATCCACTCACGCACATATACATTACTATATAGTTAGAAACACAAAAGAAGCGCGGTGTTTAAAATGAAAAAAATTAAAATATGAGTTATGTTTCCTGGTGTGATTCACTTTGTTTCTAACGTGTATTCTGCATGAGGGGCGATCTGAGCGATCAAGCAGTCGTACATGGACGGAGGTCCGGTTATTTTAGGGGACCCCAATTCCATGGTGGCAGAGGTGGAAAATGTTGAAAATTGTCTGAAATGGCTTTCCCAGAACCTGCACGACCTATTTCGTTAGGCCTTTTCATTGATTATTTCGTGATCAGAGCCTATGCTATCCGTGGACCGTGGGCATGAGTCAGCTGGGATGGATTATTATTGTGAATTGACCGACTAGTGCAATTTCAAATATCGACTTGCAGCGGTGCTGATCGGAACTGAGAAAATTGAATGACACACAATGGCAATGCTCGTGTAAAAAATCGTTCTAGAAACTGATCGATGTTAACGCTAACATCGTCGCTAACACAATTGATGGGTAATGTTGTGTGATGCGCATGATCGTTGACCACAACTAGATTTTACATCATGTGATTTATAAATAGAATACTAAATATATATTTATGACCGAGGCCCAGAAAGCTGTCAGTCCGCCAATCAGGGTTTATTTTAACGTGCAGTTCTACACAAAATGTGCAGTTCTAAACCAATTTGTGCAGTTCTTAAAAAACAAATGTGCAGTCACCAAACTAGAAAAAATAGCCTTAATTAAAACAGTCTTCTCATTTACTCGTTTATACCCTTGTGGATGCTCCAGAAATTTCCAGAAAAGCTGTCATTAATTGAGCATCAAAAATATAAATCTCAAATGCAAATTTAAGGTTGTTATATATTGAATAACCATGATCCCCAGTTACATGTTTTGAAACAGTTTTCGTGAGTGGTTGGGTAAATCTTTACCAGAACTTAAGGGCCTCTAGATTCAAATTGTTTTGGGGAACACTTCCAGAGGCTCCCGCACCCAAAATCGAATTGGTCTGGCCTTTCTCCAATTCGCCCACCCAACCACACCATTCTGTCACCTATATGCGGGTAAAAAATCCTTCGGACACCCCCCCCCCCCCCCCCCCCCCCCCCCCCCCCCCCCC